CGGGGAGCAGAAAGAGCAGGGGGACAAGCCGAAGGACCCCTGAAGCCCGGCAACACGGCCATCGTCCAGCCAACACCTGGGATGCCCCATGGGGTGCCACGTGGTCTCTGCGCCTATGCAGAGTGCCTCTCACTCAGCCCATGCACCTACCAGAGCCCTACTTAACAGCTGGCCTTGTCGGTATTCCTTCCGTGCAATAAATCGTCTTCCTATTTCCCCAGTGTGGTTGGATTTTTTGCCTGCTGAATTTTTCTCCGGCTGAAACGCTTTAGGGCAAAACAAAACCTAAGACGTATGCTGGGCAGGAAGGGGGGGGGGGGTGTGCATTTTACTATGCTCAACAAAGGGAAGGCTAAAGTATGAGACAGAATTGTATGAGACAGAATTGCGGAAACAGTTGAGGGATTGCTAATGTCAAATTGCCAGCTCAAAAGTTGATGTGTTTATTTCATGTAAAACATTAGCAGTTATTAAAACAAAGAAGCAAACATACGGTGTACTGGATTTTTTTCCTTCTCTTGCTGAATTTGGAATTAAAAATTGAAGTGTTTTTAAGGTGAAAAGCCAGGGGATTTGCTGCCTCGGAGGCTCAGTAAGGGCAGCAGGTAAGGCAGAGCGCGCAGCTTTTCAGTAGCAAACTTGTCCCTGCAGCCTACCACAGTCAAGCACCTTCAGCTGACAGTGATGTGGTGGGAGGTCACCCTGACAGAATCTCGGCTTTCCATTTGTGAGGAGAAAATAAAAACTTGGGTTTATGGGAAAGATCAAACGTTTGAACCTCTGCTGCTTTATTGACCGGTGCTCCAGAATTTCTGCAGTCGACTAATGATAATGCATTACCAGATGGGGGTAAACTCAACTGCGAGGTTTCAGTACATGTACAGAACATTTTATAACCTGCTAGTCACATACACCAATACAGGGTATTAAGTTTCCAGATAATGTTGGTACAAGAACATCCTGACGTCTTTGGGCATGAAATATAGAATCATAGAAACAGAGCAAGTTAGAAGGGGTCTCCCGGGCCATCTAGTCTGACCCCTGGCTCCAGCTGGCTTCACTCACGACATGCCTACCATGTGCATGTCCAGCCTGTCCTTGAACACTCTCGCCGATGGGGCCTCAACCACCTCTCTTGGAAGCCCATTCCACATCCTCGGGGTCCTGACTGTCAGGAAGTGCTTCCTGGCATCTAAATGGAACCTGGTTTCCTGAGCTTTGCTCCGTTGGAGCACATCCTGCCTTCCTCTGCAGGGGAGAACAGGTCTCTGCCCACCTCCGTGTGACATCCCCTCACACACCTGTATGTTGCCAACAGGTCCCCTCTGAGTCTCCTCTCCTCCAGGCTGAAGAGGCCCAGTTCCCTCAGTCTCACTTCGTACGGCATCCCCTGCAAACTGGCCACCAACCTTGTGGCCTTGCGCTGCACTGACTCCAACCTGGCTATATCCTTTCTGTAATGAGGGGCCCAAAACTGAGCACAATACTCCAGTTGCAGGCGCACCAGAGTCATGTAGAGTGGCAGTAACACCCCTTTTGATCTAGAAGCCACACTTCTGGCTATGCAACCAAGGGTGGCGTTCGCCCTCTTGGCCACCGCATCACACTGCTGGCTCATGTTCAGCCTGCAGTCAACCAGCACCCCGAGGTCCCTTTCACAAGTGCTGCTCTCCAGCCACTTGTCCCCCAACCTGCACCCATTCCTATGCCCCAAGTGCAAGACCTTGCACTTATCCACATTGAACGCCATCCTGTTGCCTCCACTTCCATAGTCTGCCCAGATCCTTTTCGGTCTGGAGTACCTGCTCCTCAGTTGTGGCCACTGCTCCAGTTTTAGTATCGTCTGCAAATTTGATCAGAGACTGGTCACCCCTTCTTCCATGTTGTTAATGACATTAAGAATGCCCACACTCGGTGCAAAAGCACTCTGTACATGCTCACTTTCAACCTTGTGTGCCAGCATTCTCTGAAAGTTTGTGCAAGTGTTTTGAAGGAATCCAGGGGGGTGAGTAGGAAGGAGAGAAGAGGAAGCAGCTAAGAACTTGGCTAAGAAAGAACTTGGCAAAGAAGCTCAGGTGACGGCGGTGGCTAGGAGTGCCTTCCTTCAGCTTTGGCTGATCCATCAGCTGTGTCCCTACCTGGAGAACGACTGCCTGGCGACTGTGACACATGCATTGGTCACTTCCCGACTAGACTTCTGTAACGCGCTCTACATGGGGCTGCCCTTGAAGACGGTCCGGATACTTCAATTGGTTCAAAATAGAGCTGCCAGGTTGCTGACGGGGACTGGGCGTTATGCTCACATGACTCCAGTTCTCCGTCAGCTTCACTGGCTCCCCATTGAAGTCCGGGCTCAAGTCAAGGTTCTGGTTATCACCTATAAAGCCCTTAATGGCTTAGGTCCTGGTTACCTAAAGGAGCACCTGCATCCATATATGCTCTCCCGCCCCCTGAGATCTGCAGCAGAGGCCCTTCTCTGGGAGCCCTCCGTGAAGGATATTAGGAGGGTGAGTACCCGGAGGAGGGCCTTCTCTGCAGTGGCGCCCCACCTATGGAATGTGCTCCCCAGAGAGGTCTGCCTGGCGCCGTCGTGATTTGCTTTTCGGTGCCAGGTCAAGACCTTTTTATTTAAATGATATTTTAATTGTTAATGGTTGTTAATTGTTAATAGCCCCTCCAAAGTGCTTGATAGTCCCCTATAAGGGTGGGCGCAGATGCTGAATGTTAAAAACGCTGGAATCAATATGATGAGAAATGAGGCAAAGGAATGATCTGTGCCGAAAGCTATGATTTTTCAAGGAACCTTTAAAAATACAAATAAAGCCCAGAGATAGAAACAGGCACTCCCATTGACAAGCCAACCAGGTGGACTTGTCCCTTGAGAAAGAAACATTGGAATGGAGATTCCCAGAGAAGCACCTGGCTGCCTGGAGGTGAAGTTACACTGCAACCCTAGTGTTGCAGATGCAAGATATGCAGTGCAGGATTACTAGCCACTCCAGCAGGCCAAGTTTTGCCCTGTCTTCTGCAAAATTCCTGAAGTTGCCCTCTAGCCCAGGTGATCAATTATCAGCCTGCTTCTGTAATATATCCCCCAGTAGCAGCTTTGCTTATTCCAGTAATTTAAAGCTTGTCACAGCGGGAAGAGGAGATCAAAAGCAGAGCTGCCAGGCTGGACCACCTTCCCTGCCTCCCACCCTCCTTCAAAAGGCAGTGACATTTCTGTGGTTTGCAAAATAAGACAAGGTGGATTTACTCCCCGTGGAGAAACGTCGGGTCTTGCAGTACATTGGAAGAGGTTGCGATGGAGAAAATTGGGGATCTTGTTAAAGACGGATCGTCTTCTAACGTACATTTTGCTCTCCATCAAATTCCACTGTGGTATTTGCAGAACTGGCCGAGGGCCTTTCGGAAGCGCAGCTTGAAACGCGAAGTGTCGGCTGCAGCCAGCTTTTCTAGCTCCTGTTCGCACTTAATGGGCCCAAGCGGCATTTTAAAAATTGATGTCTCTTCTTTTACTTCGCCCCCCACCCACCTTCCCTGCAAACTGCTCTCTCGTTTGGCTCTTCCATTAGTAATGGTCAGGGAAGGCAATTCTCTCCTCTTTCTTCCCAGCAAAGCATTTCTGATCCACCTGCGATGCAAGCAGAAAATGGAAAAAGGACCCGATGACTGAAGTGAGCAAAAAGAGGAAAGCATTGGCCACTTTACTGGCTGAAAAGAAACTCACGAATGCCTCTTTATCTGCTTCTAGCCCTGGCTGCACTGTAAGATTCCATATAAAGGACCGCATTGGGTATGCTTTGGCCTGCATTCTCCCTGGGAGCAGAGATCTTTTGGTTGCAATTGCTAGAGAAACAGGCAGTTCCTTTTGAGGGTGTTCAAGGATAGGCTGGACATGCACATGGTGGTCATGTTATGAGCAGAGCCAGCTGGAACCAGGGGTCAGACTAGATGGCCTGGGAGACCCCTTCTGACTCGCTGTTTCTATGTTTCAAGACAGCTTGGTGCAGCTCTAAAGTCTTAGCTCCAGAAAAGCCTATCCCAAACAAGCCAGCTTGGTGGCACAAGTCCAGCGATCTGCTTGGAGTGGTCCCCAAAATGCAACAAGCATTTGTAAATAGGCACCTTATCAGTTAACTGAAGCAGAGTGAGTCAGAAGGGGCCTCCGAGGCCATCTAGTCTGACCCTGGCTCCAGCCGGCTCCGCTCATGACACGTTCATGTCCAGCCTGTCCTTGAACACCCTCACCGATGGGGCCTCTACCCCCTCCCGTGGAAGCCCATTCCACACCCTCGGGGTCCTAACCGTCAGGAAGGACTTCCTGGCATCCAAATTGAACCCGGGTTCCCTGAGCTTTTCTCCGCTGGAGCGCATCCTGCCCTCTGCAGGGGGAAAAAAGGTCATGACCCACCTGTGTGTGGCACCCCCCTCACATACCTCTATGTTGCTAGCAGGTCCCATGGGCCTTATAAAACCCCCCTTTAAGCCCAATGGGGCTGGGACCCAGGTGATCTGTGTTCTAGTCCCCACTCGGTCATGAAGCCAACTGAGTGGCTTTGGGGTCAGTTGCTCACTCTCAACTCCTCCTATCCCACAAATGGAGCCATGTAAGCTGCCTGGGTTCAAAACCAGGCGGGTGATGGTGGGATATAAACGCAGTGTAATAATACCAAGTCGCATGCTCTGCCTTGTGGCAGAAGGCAGACAACGAAGGTCCAAGCCAGACCCTGAGGCTTTATATGGCCAGAAGCGTTCCCATGTCCACCTGGGCTGAATTACCCCGATTGAAGGTGAGGCGATGCCCCAGCGGAGCTCATGGCAAGGTAACAGCTCCCCCTTGCGGCAAAACAGTGCCAGGCACGTGGCTGCAGAATTACAAGACCACGGCGGTTTTCGCACAGGTTGTTTTTGCTTCGAAGCCTCTGGAGACCCATAAAAAATGCATGATAGAAAAGGAAGCAGTGGGAGAAATTGGAGGAAAAACAGAAAGGAACTGGTCACTGTTTAACCAACCATCTGATGTCTTTATTTGAAAAGGCACAGGTTAAGACATCTTCAATACAGAATTAATTTTTCTCAGTTCCTCTTAATATAGGTCAAGTGATTAATAAAGACCATGAAGCAAACAAGATTTTTTTCTCTCTCTCTTTCTCTAAAGGAATATATACAAACACGAAAAATTTCTTTTTGTTGTGAAATTTCTTTTGTTAAATGAAAAAAAGGTCAAACTAGTGTTCAGAAAGATAAGATAAAAGTTGCAGTATCTTTTCCTTGAAAACGAACAAAGAAACCCAACATCAACAGGGAGTTCAAAGCAACAATGCTGGGGGGAGGGGGGTGAGAATGTTTTAATTTTTGCCCCCCTTCATTCTCCTCCATTCCCCTCCCCACAGAGACCTCCTAAAAAGTCATATTGAAAAAGGAGCCAGCCACTGAATGTTAGAGAACAAATTCACCAGGAAACTGGGGAAGAGATGCAGACGGAGTGGTGAATTCGGAGATATATGGGGATACAGGACTTATATATTTATATATTTATATATATAAAAATTTTGCTTCTGTGCTACTTTAAAAACAAGTTACATGCATAAGGACAAAAGGTGCACATCCTCTAAAACAGTGCTGGGGGGCTGGGGGAGGGATGGGAAGTCACGACAGCTTCTTGAACCTCAGCAGAAGATACTGCAGAAACATTACGCGGAAGAAAGCAACAGAGAGCAGTGGCGTGGGAGGAATTCACCACCAGGAGGGGGTGTCTGGTGGTCCAAGCCGGGACACGAAAGGAGCATGGTGGAGAATTGGGGGGGGGGGGTAGCAGGCTCTGTGATGGATCCCCACCCCCAAAACATCCAATGTTTGCGCACAGGAAGCACACCCAGGTGGTCAGAGCAAGCCGCGCGATCGGAGCGCGGGTGGGAATGCAGCACCGGCTGGCTCGGGCTCATGGGGTGAGAGGGAGTTGGGGGTTGTGACTGTTGGTGCGGGGGGGGGGAGAAACCCCACCTGCAACACTGTCCCACTGTGGCTGAACAGGGTGGGGATTCCCACATGTCTTCTCCTTGGGGGTTATTTTATCCGTGGCGGAGGAACAGAGTGGGGGTGTGGAACCTCTCTCAGCTGAAGGCCGCATTCTGTTCCGGAGAGACCCTCGGGGGCCACCCGTCCCAACTGTGGGCGGAGCCAAAGCTACAGGGCCCCAAATTCAAAACCAACCAGCGTATTGTAGCCTGAAGCTCCTTTTGCACAAATGTTCCCCTTCTCAGACGGGGATAGAGCTTGGGAAACCACAGAAGGGGTACACGGGGCCAGGGGAGGAGAGACTGTGGCCCCATGCGCAACGTCCTATGCCCGCACACTAAGAGCTGAAGCCAGCAGGAACTCCTGCAAGACCCAGGGGGAATCTTCTTGCCCCGTCTGAATAACCTGGAGGAGGAGATAATTGATGGGTTAAAAGTTACACACAGAAGGGATCCAATGGCCAACTGGGAACAGGGCTCTACCTCCTAGGCAAACTGTCTCCTGGCCAGTGGACAGGGCAGACATCATGGGGTCACTCTGCTCATGGGGGTCACTTCGGGTGCAGGTCTTTTTTGTTAAACACGTCTATGAAACAGGACTCGGAAACCAGTTGCGAACGAGCACCGTGGGGGTGCAGCCGGATGCAAACCGGCACCTGAGGACGAGCGGAGTGCCAACCACGCCCCACGGGCTGGGACGCATCGCCAATCCACGTCTGAGCAGCCCTGAGATGTGCATGGACACAAAACCGGGACCTCTTCACTAGCAGTGACTGCCACTCAAGGCAGAATTCCTTGCTCCCTGGTGGGAAAAGGGTTTTCCCAGCAGGAGTATTTCCCTGGGTGATGTTGGCTACTGGCGGCTGGTTTCGGCTTGCATGGGCCACTCAAGGCCCTCTGTCTGAAAAGGCCTGCCGTGGCGCACTCCTGTCGGCCAGAATTTACCAGGCTGGAGATGCGAGCAGACCAATTTCGAAAATGCAGAAATGTTCTTCTAGGAGCCTCCAAAGCTTGCCCGTCTGTTGTGTGGCTCGCAGCAACCAGCCGGGGAATCCTAACCTACCCTCTGCCGGCTGATGCCAGGACCCGGGGAGGACCCCCTGTGGACTGCCCACGGCTGTTTTTGCCGGTCTCCGCTGCCTGCCACCAAATCCAGCGGCAGGCCCCGATGCGTCCTCAGGGGGCCACCCATATGGGGGTCAGAGCTCCAACGGGCATGACAGAATTCGGCCACACGGGCTGAGCACCGAGAAATGCGCTGCTCTCCCAACCTGGCAGCTGGTGCGTGATGCTGAAGTTGCACAGGCGTATCCCAAAGCGCGCCCCCCCCCTTTAAGGTGGCACCCCTGCAGCTTGGGGGCACAGGTAGCCACCACCCGGCCACCCTTCACAAGGAATCCCACTGCAAGGGGAGATGGGGCTTTAGCTCCGCCGAGCTGAGCATGGAGCTTCAGAAACTGGATTTAAAATGCGGGGCTACATCCCCGTCTTAGTCCTGCACCCCCCCTCACACACACACACACACACACACACACACACACAGACAGAAGACCCTGGGGCAACCAAGCCATGCTTGGGGGGCAGTGGCCATTTCCCACGTGGCCAGAACTGGAGACGGGGGAGGCCACAGCATGTGCGGCAGAGGCTGGGGGGGCAACGGCGCCAGCCCTGAGCCTGGGAGAGTCCGGGCGTGCTCCGCCACCCCCCCCCACTGGGAGCAGCCCCGTGCTGGAGGAGTGAATGTTGCCCTCCGCTTCTGCCCCCACTGTGAGCTCCTCCCCACCCCGCTACCCCGGAACCCGTCTAATCCGACTTCTCCCCGTCGTCGTCTTGGTGGGCGTCTCCGTCATGACCGTTCTTGTCCTCCTTGGAGAGGTGAGCTTGGGAGCCCAGGGCCGAGAGGGAGAGCAGCCCCGTGCTGGCGCTGACGGCCGGGAGGGAGGGCGGCTGCAGCCCCATGGGCAGCGGAGTCAGCGGCAGGGCGAGTGCTTGGAGCTGGGACAGCTGGTGCGCTTGGAGCTGCTGCTGTAGGCAAACGAGAGAACGGGGGGGTGGGGGTGAGGAGGCGGGAGCGTGAGTGGCGTGGATATGTCAGCACCACCGTTGCCAAAGCGAGAGGTGCTTGTCCTTTTCTTTTTAGTACAGCCCAGGGGCCTTTTCCTGAGTCTGGTCCCCTCTTTCTATGGCCACCTGTTGGGAGATACAGAGGCGAGGGCTCCTGTCGCCTCTCTGCGTGAGGCGAGCCTGACTGGGAACCTGACTGGGAACCTGACTGGGAAGCCTGGTCACCCACCTGCGGCAGCAGGATAAACCTGAGGGTTCCTGTCGCCTCTCTGTGTGAGGCGAGCCTGATTGGGAGGCCTGGTCACCTACCTGCGGCAGCAGCAGAACATGAGTGGGATTTGAACCCGGTGCCCTCTGGCTCAGTCTGCCACTTCACTGCTGCTCCCAGGTCCAAGACCAGTGGAAGGATGTGGACCTCCGGCCCGTCCCAGTGCATCCACCCGACAAGGCTCCCGAGCAGCCAGCAACAAACCCCAGCTCCCTGCACCTCACCCCACAGCCACTACCAAGACCCTGAGCGGAGCGCCACGGACCCGGATGATGGAGTTCAGCTCTGGGGCAGTCACTTGCTTGGCTCTCTCGATGGCTCCAAGGACCTGCTGCTGGTGCTAGAGAAAGGGAGAGCGGAGTCACCGTGGGTCCCACGTGGGCTGCTGAAGAGGAGTGGCTGCAGCGGCCAGCAGGGAGGAACAGGACTCGGAGAGGCGTGGGGTGGGGCTGAAGGGGGAGCACGAGAGCAAGGGGGCAACCCCTGCTTCTACAGGGCCTGCTGGGGCATCCTGGAGTCTAATTCCTGGCCCTGAGAGGTGTTCTGCGTGGTTTTGTGACTGACGGGAAACTGGCTGGCACTGCCTATGTAGATGCTTGCCAAGGCTATGAGGAACATGCGTTTCCAGATTGCAATTGTAATTGTTATTATTTATTTACTTTTGCGAGCCTTCCCGAGGCTATGTTGCAAGGAGACGGCATATAAAAACCGTTAATAAATAATAATAAATAAACAAGCGGGGAGCGGGCATGGGTTGTCTCGTCCCCCACTTGCCCTGTCCTGATTTAGAGGAACAAAGGACCCCGATTTCACGGGGAGAAGGAACCAAGCGGGAGAGAGCTTGTAAGAGGCAAGGACGTGGCTGAAGCTCAGGTCCCCTGGCACAGAATATGATCTTCTGCAGCAGGTTAATGCCTGGCTGAGTTACAAATTAAGAGCGCCACGAATTTCCTGGCTCAGAAGAAAACGGCGCTTCTACGCTTGCTGGGCATCCTGGGACTTGCAATTTCCTATGGCTCCCAAGAGTTCAAGCACCCAGGAGACCTCTAACCTCTTCAGGGGACTCCCTGGAGGTGCAGCAGTGAGGGACCATGTGGCCCCAGGAAGGAGGCACAGATCCCAAAGCACCCTGTTGCACGGGAAAATAACGTTTCCCAGGGCCACCGGTGCTTGGCATCTCAGCACCTCAGGCACCGGGAATGCTTCGGGCCTTACTGGACAAATAGGCTCGGGGGTTTCTGTGAGGTGGCTTGGCACCGCCAAACTTCTGAATGCAGTAAGTTTGCGAAGACAAATTCCAAAACCAAGGTTACCTCTTGGGAAAGGTACGGCAACACCTGAGCACAAATCCCATTTAACCGCTTGACGATTTCAGCCTGAAATTAAAAACAGAGAATGCCAGTCAACCCAGGGCAGAAATACGATTTGTTGTTGTGATGTGCTGTCAAGTCATTTCCATCTTATGGCAATCTTGTGAATGAATGCCCAGGTCTGCTCACCTCATGGAAAGAAAAAAATAACAACCAGCAGAAGGTGGAGGAAGCTACGAGAGGATCAGCTATCCTCGAATTAATGCTAACTAACAGGGGCGGCCTTGTGGACAAAAGCACGACCATGGGAACTCTGCGGGAACGTGACCACGCGATTCTCCCTCTTGGAAAACAGGTGGAGCGCCAGACGGCTGGAGAGGGGCTCATGTTGCCCGTCTTCAAAAAAGGGGGAAAAAGATGAACCTGGGAACTATAGACCAGTAAGTCTGACGTCAACCACTGGAAAAACTCTTGAGCAAATTAAAAAATCCATCTGCAAGCAACTTGAAGAAAATGCAGTGATTAATAAAAGCCAGCATGGCAGTTATCAAACAGAAATCCTGTCAGACTAATTTAATCTCATCTTTAAGACTGAGTATTCTCCAAAAAAATGTCCTTATTGAATCTCCTTATTGGTCCTTATTGGTTTACAGAGCCTCCATCTCTCTCACGGGTCTTCCGGTCCCTTTGAGACCAGGGCTGGAGTGCCTCTACTTGGTGTTGGGCGAACGAGACAGATTGGGGATTCTATTGGTGTACCGTGCACCTTTCTGCCCAGCAGTCTCCCTATCTGAGCTGACAGAGACCGTCTCGGATCTGGTGTTGAGGACCCCCAGGATGTTGGTCCTGGGGGACTTCAATCTCCATGCCGAGTCTGGACTGACCGGGGCGGCTCAGGACTTCATGGCCTCTATGACGGCCATGGGCCTGTCTCAACACGTCACTGGCCCTACCCATGAACGTGGACACACTCTGGACCTGGTATTCACGACGGGGCAGGAAGAGGATGACCTGAGGGTGAAGAACTTATGTTTGACTCCCCTGTCATGGTCAGATCACCTCCTGGTGAGGTTTGTGCTCGAGAGCGGCCTCTCCCTCTATAAGAGTGCGGACCCGATTGTATGGGCCCGCCCCCGGAGCCGGATGGATCCGGATGGATTCCTGGGGGCCCTGGGGGAATTTCCGGCTGACAAGACTGGTGCTCCTGTCGAGGCTCTGGTCGAACTGTGGAACGGAGAGATGACCAGGGCTGTGGACACAATCGCTCCTAAGCGTCCTCTCCCACCGGGCAGAGTCCGCTCTTCCCCTTGGTATACACCTGAATTACGGGCGATGAAGCGAGTTGGGAGACGGCTAGAGCGTAGGTGGAGGAAATCACGGGATGAATCTGACCGAACACACTTGAGAGCCCACTATCGGGCCTATGCTGTGGCGGTGAAGGCGGCGAAAAAGAAGTTTTTTTCCGCTTCCATTGCCTCCTCACAATGCCGTCCAGCAGAGCTTTTTCGAGTGGTGCAAGGCCTGGTTCGCCCGGGTCCTAAGGAAGATCCGATGCCACCCTCAAAGGCCCGCTGTGACGACTTTGCCAGGCATTTCAGGGAGAAAATCGCTCAGATTCGTCACGAGCTGGACTCCACTAATGAATCAGAGGTCTCTGAGGAGTCGCCAATGCCACCGTCTGGTCCAAAATTACTGGAGGAATTTCAATTATTGCGGCCCAATGATGTGGACAAGGTGCTTGGAAGAGTACGTCCCATCACGTGCCTATTGGATCCTTGCCCGTCTTGGTTAATAAATAACTCCAAGCACGGGATTGGGACCTGGATTTTGGAAGTGGTTAACGCTTCTCTGAGGGAGGGTCGAGTGCCTGCCCCTTTAAAGGAGGCGGTAATACGACCGGTCCTGAAGAAAGCGTCACTGGATCCAGAGATGGCCACTAACTATAGACCTGTGGCCAACATCCCGTTTCTGGGCAAGGTGCTGGAGCGAGTGGTGGCGGGACAACTCCAAGCACTCTTGGAGGAAACTGATTATCTGGATCCTTTTCAGTCCGGCTTCAGACCCGGGTACAGTACTGAATCTGCCTTGGTCGCCCTGTACGACGACCTGTGCAGGGAGAAGGACAGGGGGAGTACATCCCTGTTGGTTCTTCTGGACCTCTCGGCGGCTTTCGATACCATCGACCATGGTATCCTTCTGGATAGACTTGCGGGATTGGGGGTTGGAGGCACTGCTTTGCAGTGGTTCCGCTCCTATCTCGACGGTCGATTCCAGAAGGTAGTGCTGGGGGACCATGTCTCTACGTCATGGCAGCTATGCCATGGGGTACCACAGGGCTCCATTCTATCCCCTCTGCTATTTAACATCTATATGAAACCGCTGGGAGAGGTCATCAGGAGGTGTGGGCTGTGGAATCATCAATACGCTGATGATACCCAGCTTTACCTCTCATTCTCCACTAATCCAGGTGAGGCAGTGGCTGTGCTGAACCGGTGCTTGGCCGAGGTAAGGGAATGGATGAGGGCCAATAAACTGAAACTCAACCCAGACAAGACGGAGGTCCTGTTGGTTGGCGGATCGGGTTTCGGAGAGGGTGGATTTGACCTGGTCCTGAATGGTGCAACACTCCCTCTTAGGGATAAGGTCCGCAGCTTAGGAGTACTCCTCGACCCGGAGCTTTCTTTGGAAGCTCAGGTGACAGCGGTAGCGAGGAACGCCTTCCTTCAGCTTTGGCTGATTAATCAGCTGCGCCCCTACCTGGAATACGACTGCCTGGTGACGGTGACACACGCGCTGGTGACTTCCCGCCTAGACTTCTGTAACGCACTTTATGTGGGGCTTCCCCTGAAGACAGTCCGAACACTTCAATTGGTGCAAAATAGAGCTGCCAGGTTGCTGACGGGGACGGGGCGTTATGCTCACATGACTCCAGTCCTCCATCAGCTTCACTGGCTTCCCATTGAAGCCCGGGCCCAATTCAAGGTGTTGATTATGACCTACAAAGCCCTAAACGGCTTGGGTCCTGGCTACCTGAACGAGCGCTTACGTCCGTATATGCCCGACCGCCCTTTGAGATCTGCGGGAGAGTCCCTTCTCCGGGAACCCTCCATGAAAGAAATTAGGAGAGTAAGTACCCGGAGGAGGGCTTTCTCTGCGGTGGCGCCCAACCTATGGAATTCACTCCCCAAAGAGGTCCGCCTGGCACCGTCGTTACTGGTTTTTCGGCGCCAGGTAAAGACCTTTTTATTTAAACATCATTTCAATTGTTAAAACATATGATCTGGCCAGGGCAACTTCTTCTTCCTTCTCTTTCTCCTCCTATATTTTTATTTTATACTGATAATTTTAATTTTGTATTTGTAAATCAATGTATTTTTTGTATTGTTATATTTAATGGTAATTTATTATGTACTATTGTATTTCAATGTATTTTATCATGTTGTAAGCCGCCCCGAGGTTTCGGCAAGGGGCGGCATAGAAATGTTATAATAATAATAATAATAATAATAATAATAATAATAATAATAATAATAATCTCATTCTGTTGCTTTCAGCCCTGTGCTGAAATTTATCAAGATTGTCCTGGATCTTCATTCTGTCTTCTAGGGCAGGGGTCCTCAAATTATGGCCCGTGGGCCAGATACAGCCCAGCAAGATCATTTATCCGGCCTGCCTCAGAGCTTTCGGACTCTGAAACGCTTTCAGTTTTGGAGACTAGCAAAGAGCCGGTGCACACGCCAAATTGTGACAGCTCCCTTCAACTGCGCATGTGCCTGCTCTCTCTGCCAGCTCTGGCTCGCTCCTGCTGCTGTGCTCGTCTCACCAGTGTGAACTGCGCGCACGCCGGCTCTTCCCCCTGTCGCACACATGCCTTGGCCATGAATAAGGAAGAGAGGTGTGAATAAGTAACCGGACACTGACCATCTCATCAGCCAAAAGCAGGCCCATACTTCCCATTGAAACACTAAGAAGTTTATGTTGATTAAAATTGTTCATTTTAAATACTGTATTTTTTCCTGGTTTTTTTCGCACTATAAATAAGATATGTGCAATGTGCATAGGAATTTGCTCATATTTTTTAAGCTAAAGTTCGCTCCCCGCCCACAGTCAGAGAAACAGTGAACTAGTGCCCTGTTTAAAAAGTCTGAGGACCCCAGTTCTAGGGTATTTGCTATTCCGTCCAGTTTTGTATCACCTGTACATTTGAATATCCTTCCTTGTATGTCCTCATCTAAACCAGTAATGCAGATGTTGAAGAGCACTGGGCCCAGGTCTGAACCCCGTGGCACCCCTCCAGCTGCCTTCGTCCAATTTCAGGAGGTGCCTTTGAGGATCACCCTTTGTGACCGATTGAGCAGCCAGTGTTGGATCCACCTCCTTGTTTTTCCATCTAGTCCAGTTTCTGCTAATTGCTTATCAGAATGTTGTGTAGCACTATGTCAAAAGCTATGCTAAGATCTAGGTAGGTTCTGTCCACAGTGTCCCCTTTGACCATTTGGAAGAATATCCAGTCGAAAAATGAGATTAAATTAATCTGACAGGATTTCTTTTTGATAAGCCCATGCTGGCTCCTATTCATCACTGCATTTTCTTCAAGATGCTTGCAGATGGATTTTAGTAATTTGCTCCAGAATTTTTCCAGGGATTGATGTCAGACTAACTGGTCTGTAGTTCCCAGCTTCATCTTTTTTTCCCCCTTTTTGAAGACTGGGACAACATGAGCCCTTCCCCAGTCGTCCGGCGCCTCTCCCGTTTTCCAGGATTGATCAAAGATAATTGTCAGTGGTTCTGAGAGTTCCTCCGCTAGCTCTTGTATGACTCTGGCCTGGAGGTGATCGGGCTTTGAACGTGTTTCTTCCACCTAGGAATTCCTTGACCATTTGTCTGTCAATCTTGGGCTGCCATCTCTCACTTCCAGCTGGAACTTCCTCTTGATTGCAGGTTTCCTTGTGGGAGAAGACGGAAGCGAAGGAGGGATTGAGCGCCTCTGCCTTCTCTGTTTTCCCTCTGCCACCCAGTTGAAATAGCTGGTCACCCTTGGCTCCCTCTCATGTCTTTTGTTCTGG